AGGGAGGCTTGGTTACAGAAACAAAATTTCAACTATTTTTTTCAGAAAAAGCTGATAATAATAAAGGAATTGAATACTGGATATTAACCAGCGAAGGAGAGCGGATTCTATCTAACTCACCTATTGAAAAATCTACATTTTAGCATAATTCAGCTGTAAACGTGGTGCTCTAGCAGTGCACTATTCTTCATAAAAAAGACCAAACCAAGCAGTGTAGATTTTTGTTGTACACTGTATGAGTATGTGTAAGGTCTTCAGCCTGCACAGTTGCTACATTTGTACATTATTTAAAAATAATTGTTTGATATCAAAGTCCTTTTTATCTGCCTCTTTCACACTACCCATAATACACCTTGTTTACCCTTGTTTATCTGATACATACTGACTCAAGGATCACATGTCTTGGATGGATATAGGAGCTGGCTGTACAGCATGACAGTTCACAACATTGGTAACTCTAAGAATGGCAATGTATACTGCCCCCACGAATAAGAACCTAGATTTTTCCAAGTTTTTTTTTTTAATTTATTTATTTGCATCACTGATTTACATTACTTACAAAGCATATAAATAAATGATTACATTGCTACTATACACTAATTACTTAAACAATCCAGATCTATAATACAGAGTAGCCAAAGTAACTTATTAAGTAGTTCTTGCATACTCATGTGCACCCACACACACATGCACACACATGCACTACGCACATTTACTGATTATCCGCCTTGGAACATCAAAAGAGCCTCTAGAGAGTTAGCTGTTGCTGTTCTCTGCACATCTCGACAAAGGAAATAAAGAGTAAAGATCATTTTCCCAGATAAATGCTTCCCATTTTGCATTGACTTTTCTTAAAATCCCAGCTTTCATGGCATAACAACTTTCATAATCAAGACAATTTAGAATGGTTTGAAAAAAGAGTTCCCATGAAGGGTTAGGGCCTTTTTCTTTGGAGAAATAGATGTGATACCTCGCGATTAAAAGTGCATGATGGAAAAGCAGGTTTGTAGTATTGTTCACTAGGCCTATGCAAGACAAAACGGAGAATTCTTCGTTAAGAAAGCAAGAGCTGTTTTTCATCCAGTTACCAATTTCATTCCAAAAGGATTTAACCAAAGGACATTCTCAATTTAAGAGGTGCAAAAGAGTTTCCGAGCTTTCTTTGCAGAAACTGCATTGATCATTAGATTTGATTCCAGTTTTTAAAAGGAAACAGTTTGTTGCCAATTTTCTATGCAGAAATTTAAATTGAAAAACATGTAATTTAGATTCGTTGGTATATAGAAAAGCAAGGGTATATGACTTACCCCAATCAATCGTGTCAAAGTCACAAGTATTGCAGTCTGACAGCCATTTTTCCTAACTTTTACAAGGGATAGAGGTGCTTTGGGTTAGACATGATTTGTAACCTAGTTTACAGAAAGCTTCAGGAGGGTAATAGGCTTCTGGTGTCGGTTTTAGCACCGTTCAAATTTTGTGGACAATGTTTTTGCGTTTTATATTCGAGACAGAGTTAGCCTAAAAAGGTTCTTATAGAAATGGTACATATACGTGTAGTTAGCACAAGTTAAGGCTATTTAGGTTCTTAAGAAAAAAAATGCAATACAGCTAAGAGTATATAGTGGCCCTGGGTCAGCTTATTATTAAGAGGGATTGGGGCAGGGGGGCGTGAAAATAACGCTTATTGTTACCTGCTTAATATAATATAATAATAATAAAATATTTATATAGCGCTTATACTTTTCAGTTCTAAGCGCTTAGAATGGCTAATTTGCTTACTTTGATTCATAATGGTGGAATTTGAAAAGTTACAGCCTCGATTTAAAAATGGTACTCATTTTTCTTGTTACCAAAGTCTTTCAAAAGGGTACAATGTTCAGATGAGTTTATGTTTAACTCTCTCACGAGATGCTATGTCACCCAATGGTCATGCAGTGACAAAGTGGTGGCCTCGACAGTTTGTACAGACACACTCCCAAGAAAAAAAAATTTACATACCAAATTAGAAGTTATGTAAAAATGACCAGATAAGGAGCTTAAGTATTGACCTCTTTGGTATATATTAAATTTCAGTTGGAGTGACAAGGCACCTATGTCTCCAAAGAAAATTCTGAATGTTGACTTATCTGATATTTACCTAAGTGTACAGAATTTTTTCCATAATTAGATAAGAACCTGTTTCAAATTTTAGGCTAAACAGGTTCTTATATACAGTGTAGAAGGGGGGCTTAACTGGCTCATTTTCGCTTAACAGGCTCTTAAAATCCAGGTTCTGAGTAATGGGGTTTTACTGTATGCCAAAAGTTTCTGTGTGCTGCCTTAAGCAGGCCACAACATATTCAGTGTGTAAGTATGAAAAAATTAATCCCACTGGTATCAACACTTCTTTGCAGATTAACATTTTAACTGTAGTATTGAAATAGCCCACCTTCTAGAGGCTCTGATAAGGCAAAATTCTAATAAGCAACCTTGCCTTGAAACAGTGACAGAAGACTAAGTGACAACAAACACAGTTAATGATGGGCTGAATACAGAAATGCAAAAACGTGAAACTATATTAGTTGAAAGTATTTGAAATTTAGTCTAGGGACATATGCGCCCTCACATCCACAAAAAGACCTCTTTCTACATTTGTATATATTGAAATTCAGCATGATAGTAAGTCCAGGAGTACTGTAGCTCTCATGCTAAATTTTAAAATACAAAATTCCTTGACGGACATCTTGCTACACCATAAATTGGACAGCTAGAGCTGGTCCCTACTTTGCTCTACTTCCTTTATATGATTCTCTAAAAGACGGACCTCTTTAAGACAGACCCTTTTTTCTGATCCCAGAGGTGTCCATAGAGAGTTGACCAAATAAAAAATTGAAAGCAGGCTAAACTGTGCTCACATTTCTTGCAGAATTTTGATCCAAAAAAGTCTAACAGCATTATCTTCCAAATCAAAAGCAAAACACATCCACATTGAATTTCCACATTATTATTCTTAGCTACTTTCAGGGAATCATGCAGTCTGCTGCCTGAATTTAATGACTGCACTAATCCCTAAATTTGCTAATTTGAGGGCCCTCATGATACAGGAAACTCTTCAGCCTAACCTTTGAAATATGTTATGGAGTAAGCCACTTCAGTTTTTTCTTGTTACGGTCATTTTTACAAGCCCGGTGCGGTAAATAAGCTTAAGCAGTAACTTAACTTGGAATTTGCAGCAAAATCAAAAAAGCTCACAACTTCACGATCTATGAAAACAAGACTAGAGCTAGTCTAGCTTGAGCTTATCTGTACCATGACTCTAATCCTTATATAAAAACGCCTTTGAAAGTACTGCAAATAACACCTTACCTCAGAAGCTCGAAAATACATTCTTGTTGCTACTGTCCTTCTTCGAACTCTCTGATTGTGCTTTCATCCAAGTCCCAGGCTTTCTAGCTCTCCAACATATGAAAATATGCGTTGACCGAGGAAAGTTTCGAACAAACCTCAAACTTCTGTAAAATTTTCCAAAAACCCATCAGGGAAAACGCTCCAAAACTGTTTCATACACAAGTCTTCCACACGATCAGGACACTGAAACGAACAAAATTCATACTACAGCCCACCCCTAGTTGGGAAGTCACATGAAGAAGACACGATCACAACGCACTTTGATTGGAAGAAACAAAACCAGGACCAAACTGCAACGGAGGACACAACTGCAACGCTACAGATACGTTGTTCAGCTCTGTCGTCAGAACAGGTACCTTCAAAACTTCCTCGACTACAGTATTTGTGGCATCTTTGCCAAGTTGTTCGCTTCATCTGAGCAGTGGGGTATATTTTTAGGAGAGGTAAGTGGTTTTAGAATTGCTTAAAACTTGAATCAAGCTATTGCCACTTCTTCCACCTTTCAAGTTAATCGAAAGATGTTCGCTATTATTTTGAAGTTTTACGTCGGTTAGGGACCTGAAGCAACTACATGTGTAAGACGACGACGACAACAAGAACGTCAAAAAACAGTTGGTTTTATGACCCTCTGCACAGGCATCACGCTTTTTAGTACATTTCTTTGACGTCCACTGCACGACTACGACATGAAGCCTCCCAATGCGACTTTTTATGGAGGACGTGGACTTTTCCTTTCTCTGTTTGAACATGGATAAAGCCCTTAAGCATTCAACTCCAGGAAGAGTCGCCTGCATTTGACGAATTGAGCGGTTCCAAATAAACGCGATAAAGTTTGAAAGGACGCAAATTCATTTTTTAGCGATGTTTCCACTGCCGTCGTCGTCGTAGTCGCTTAAGGTCCCTAATACTAATCGTGGACAACAACCGAGACATGAAGCGACAACATTTCTTTCGCCAATAAACAGCACTGATCTCCGTTTAGAGAATGAAAAGCCCTTCACTAAAGGAATGTTTGAGCCTCTTATGAGGATGAGCACTTAAAAAATGGAAAGCAAAAGCCGTCTTTGAAGAACATTTAGCCTCGCGCTTCAGTTGTTGTTGACAGGATACGTTGAATATGGTAATTAATAAGGTCTGCGAGTCCACAGCTTCAAGGATATAGGATATAAAAGATCTGAAAATATAATGACTCAGTTGTATTGCAATAAACGCATGGATGCGTGATTACCTTTTTAGGGAGACAGTTAAAGTGATCATATACAAATTCCCTTCTAGTTTGAAAATATAATGACTCAGTTGTATTGCAATGAATGCATGGATGCGTGATTGCCTTTTGAGGGAATCAGTTAAAGTGATCATATGCAAATTCCCTTCTAGTTTGCTTAAGCTCTTCGTTGATTTTGTGATTGTTGAGAGATTGAAGGAATTTTCGCGCAGACTAGAATGTCCTTGAGAGATTTTTCCTTCCTGTAGGAGACAATCGGTGTCTGGTTAAAGATTTGTTTAAGCTGAGGTTGCTGTTGAATGATGTGCCAGTGTTTCATAACAATCTTTTTGAGGTTTGGTGTGGCCGGATTGTAGGTAGTAACAAACGGTAAAATCTCGTTTGTTTATTATGTTTTTTTGCGAGTAGCCTCTTTTCTGTCTGTAAACTTAACTTCAGTTAGTATTTCTTTAACGAGTGTTAGAGGGTAGCCTCTTTGACAGAGTCTGTGTTCAAAGTCTCGTTTTTTTTTTTTTGTTCAAAGTTCTCTCTAACTGAGTTAGTTCTTAAAAGACGTAATGCTTCTGCTTTTATAAAACCCTTTTTGCAGTTTGAAGGGTGGCAAGATGAGAAGTGTGTAGGTAGGCTTAAAATGTGTTCATAAGTCAAGAATTTGATGAGTTGAAAGGCGAGGTCCTTTGAAAACCTCAGTATCAAGAAAAACAGCACATTTGGATGACATTTCGCAAGTAAACTTGATTGAAGGGTGACACATGTTCGCGAAGTCGACAAAATTGTAAACTTCTTTCATTGAAATGTCCCACAGTGAAAAGATGTCATCAATTAATCTCTTCCAGACCAAAGGTTTATAGGGGCTAGCTATTAGCAGTCGTTTTTCTAAGTCCGCCATAAAAATAACAAAGAAAGCAACTGCTGTCTTAGCCCCCATAGCTACGCCGTGTGTTTGTATGAAGGGTCTTTCATTGAATTTGAAAGAATTCTCTTCAAGTATTAGCTGCAAAAGTTCCCGTAAATCATTTGTGGGAATTGACAGCAAATTATGCTCATAGTGATCTTCGTAGTGACAGCAGTAAAAAGATATCAAGGGAGAATGTTGCATCACGGCAGTAAAATTATATCAAGGTAGAAAATGTTGCATCACGGCAGTAAGATGATATCAAGGTAGAAAATGTTCCATTACGGTAGTTAAATGAAATCAAGGTAGAAAATGTTCTATCACGGTAGTAGAATGATATCAAGGTAAAAATGTCACATCACGGTAGTAAAATGATATCAAGGTAGAAAATGTTCCGTCACAACAGAAAAAAAAAAATCAAGGCAGAAAATGTTCCATCACGGAAGTAAAAAGATATCAAGAAAGAAAATGTTACATCAGGGCAGTAAAATGATATCAAGGTAGAAAAAGTTAAATCATGGTAGAAAAAAGATATCAAGGTACAAAATGTTCCATTACGAACTGTAAAATGACATCAAGGTGAAAAATAACAATGGTTGGTTGATGCTATAACAGGAACATTTCATTGGATATGTTACACCACATAAAAGATCATGTTTACAAATAATTTTTGAAACAAATGGCGTGCCATAGAGAACTTCATATTTTTTTTATCAAGGTCAGTATTGTGTGTATGGTGAAGTGGAATTGAATCCTGGTCCAGTTACTTTTATGAAAACAAATAATGTACTTCTAAAGGGCATCTCTGTTAAGCATTTTAGGGGCAAGACGACACCAATTTTGGATTGAAACACATGGGTGTTGGTGGTGCTGGAGATTGTTTTTTTTTTAGAGCAGTCTCATGTCAGTTATATGGGAATCCATCAGTCAGTGTATTATTCATGCTGCTGGGATGTGGTTCTTGAGAGACAACCCAGAAAGATTTATTGAGAGTAATCTTGAACAGTTGTGGGTTCAATATTAATTTAAGCAATATGTCATGCCAAGCGGGGTTTCAAAATGTTTTGAAGTAGGCAACTGACTCTGGAAAAGTAGGCGACTGTGACAATCAAGGTGCCACAAGCAGTGGCAAATGTGTTTAATTTGGAAATTCACATAACTGAATCACACCCAGGGTATAATAAGCACCTGTTGTTAAACCAGCAGAGAACATATCCAGCGTCCATAAAATTTCCTTCCAAGGCTCCCCAAAACAAAGTTCTTGAAAACATTTGATGAATTTTTGCATAACCCAATGAGGCAAATTTTCATGTGCAGTAGACTGTTTTCTGGAACTTGCATTAATTTTATGTTGCCATTTTTAAAGACTGTTTACAATAACATGTATCGCTAATAGTGATTTTTTCCAATTTGTCTTGAAAGCATGTCTACTGTTAGAAAACAATGACAAGCTTGCAGATCTGACATTAGTCTGAGAACCTGTACAGGCATATTTAAGACAACATTGCTTTAAACAACACAACTTTACATGTATTTACACACACTTTACATGACTTCCCTAAACTTGCCTCTAAAAAATTTGGACGATAGTCTTTCTTCAGCTATGTTAAAAAAAAAATAGTAGACTTACTGTAGATGTAATGTTCATCAGAAACACTCTAGAGATTTCTCAATGCTGCAAGATTTTGTTATAATTCCAACATTTTTATCTGTTGAACCGTCTAGCAGTGTTGATCAACAGTGTTGATCAACTATTTTTCCCTCTAATTATTGATATGTTATGGCAAAATTATGTACTCAAAGGCATACACGACTTTCATAATGGCGGATAGCTCGGGAAGAATGGTAACTATAACATCAGAGCAAGGCCAGTAAGGCCGCAACAAAGCAAACATGGCCACGTAAGCAACGAATGTAAACACTTAGAGAGTTTGCCAGACACGAGTTCACAAATCTTTGATTGGAAACCTTGCCAGACACTTTTTCTTTCTCTTTGACCGGAATAAGACTCAGCCCCAGACAAGTAACACAAGTGGATCAATGGCTAGCTTATCACTAGCAGAACCATGGACGATTACAGAAAATAATTCGCCGACAATCAAATTCTATGCAGACTTATTCCCTGCTCACAGATGTCCTTCCGCTATAAAGTTTGAAATAAGACTAGAATGCGCGAGTGTGAATTGATCAAACGTCCATTTAATTTCTAAGGCGTACTTTCTGGAAATAAAATGAACTGAATGTAAAAAGTGAAAGAGAAATAGCGAAAAATTCAACTTCTAATGAAATCTTTTCTTATGGTTTAGAACAAACTATTCTCGAAAGTGAGAATGTTTTGATCAAAGCTGTGTAAATCGAACAGAAACTGTGCATGGAACCTTGTGTTTCCTGTATTTATCTCACCTATTGTATGGAACATGTGTGCAAATCATCATTATGAATCAGACGGGTATATTTCAAAGAGCTACTCAACAAGGAAGAATACTTTTGACAGACAATATACATCTAGCGGGGCAGCAGTAGTGTCAACTATTACTAGTTACTAGTTTTATTGTGTATTCTGGAAAGGGGATTTACTTTGAGAGAATAACATTTGATGCAACCTATTGGGAAAACATTAGGACTGGACTTCTTCAGTATCCTTTGAACATTTTTAAAATTTGCAGCAGCAGACTTTCAAAGTTCAGCTGAAAGTCATTAGGTATTTAATGAACATTCCTTCAAAATGTTTCAATTCTGCATCTGGTGTTAAAATGCATTATTTTTAAAGGGAATGTGACACGCTTCTGCGCATGTGTGGCTTCTTGATTTCTGGTCTGGCAAACCTTTTTTCAAGATTGGCTGCTGGTGAAGAAATCCTCCTCCATCGACCCTGAGACTCCCGAGAAAGCTATTATATCAGTATTCCAGAGATGTTTGGTCCATTTTGGAAGTTTTAAATGCCATATTTTGTATTTTTGTACAAGCATTGTCGAGAAAATTTGAAGTCATTGAGGAGAAGTGCACAAAGCCATATTCTTTGTGGTTAGTGTTCCTACAAACAGATCAAATGTGGCGATTAATGTGGTCATTTGGCTTTCATTTTTAGTCTATTAAGTTCTCCAGTCAACGATCTACCTTTTCCGGTAGTTTTTAAACATTAAATATGTAAAGAAAGTTAAAAAGGTTTCCTTGATACAGCCGTGGACTACCAATGATATGCAGGGGCGAGTGAAGCTGATCTGTGACATGACCTCCAATTGTCTGCAACAATTTACTCTTTTGAGTGCCTGGAATCAGAAGGAGAAAACCTAGCAATCCTTTGTTGTACAGGAAGTTGTGGGAGGTTTGAGGAAAGAATCCATCGAACATGAAATGTTTTAACAGGTATTCGATTTATGACTGCGATCCGTGGTTGTATACCAGAAAGTACAGAAGTACAGAAAGTACTGACAACAGGCATGCTCTATGATCTTTACCGATTGATGTGGTTTACTTGGAAGTTCCTTGTATCTTTGCTCTATGAGCATAAATGTTTATGTTATGAAATGTTATCTTTTAGAAATAATTTTTTACCTGAATGTTCGATAGTGTTTGTTTTGTGGAACACACTGAGACAAGATGCAGCTACTATTGAAATTTATGCAATGGTGATGAACTCCTGTTTATGCTTAATTTTGCATTGTTCTTTTAGAATGATCTTTATACCTATACGTTATGTGGCTACTATTGCAATGAAAGCATTTTATAATGAAGCGCTATTAAAAATTGCTTTCAAACACTGCTACAATTTTCAGCTGGTATCAATTGACTGAGCTACAGTGTTCATGCAGAGTAATCATCACGCTAGCCCAGAGAATAAATATGAATTATGGGGATATATAAAATCGAACAAACACGTTTGGAAGTCTCCCGCTTCGCGAACAATGAATTTTGAATTATGTCAATTTCCTTGCATGCATCTTACTTGCTTTCGATTGGTTTAAAAACAATCATCTACTGTCACAGCTCACACATGCGCACTATTGTGACATAGTCCCTTAAACCTGTTTACATTTCCTGGTGCACCAAAAAACTGTAGTCTGATGTATTTACCATTTTATTATAGCCTGTGGCCTGAAGCTGATATTGTTTATAAATATTATTGCTTTCAAATAGCTTTATTTAGCTTGTTCCAGGGATTCAGATTGTAAGGTAAGGTGCAATTGAAAGCAAGTGCCAATTATTTTTTTTTGGCTAGTATTTATTCTTTTTTTTTTTTTTTGTTTGTGATGTTCACTTTAGTTTGCTCTGTTTCCCACTATGTGAATACCTGGAACAGGCTACTTCATTTGCCTGTCTTGACAGTTTTGATTATGTATCTATTAATTACACTGTAGATTCAACAACACAAATCCTCGTTACAGACCAGTCTATATGGTTCTTTAATATGTTTAGAACAAAATTATAAGCAGCTAAAACTTTAGCCTGAGAAAACAGTGGACATTTGATAACGATACCACTGGTTTCCCCACCAAATGGCGACTGAGAAACGAGGGCAGAAATTCCATACTGATGATACATCACTACGCAGATCTGTGTAGTGCTTCTGATTGGTCGTGCCGCGTGGGAAAGTTATTTCAACCAATCAGAAGCACTACCCAGATTTCGGTAGTGATGCATCATCAGTATGGAATTTCTGCGCTCGTTTCTCAGGTATCATTTGGCAGGGAAACCAGTGGTAGCATTGCCAAATGTTGGCTGTTTTCTCAGGCTATTAAAAATTTTATGATATTGTGACAAATTCTCCCACCAGTTTTATGTGGGATGAATAGGGAGACCATAAAGAAGAATTGGTCTATTCACAATCCATATTGAGACTTCAAGGTTAATGTTAGGTTGTTCCAAGGTACAGTGACACATTTACAAAAATACTTGTTACCAGTCATTAAAATTCGTTTTAACACAATACCGGTAGCTTCAATTTATTGAGCAGGATGACTAGCACCTGATTTTTGGCAAAACTTTCAGTTAAATAGTATAGAAATAATGTCCGGTTGAGCATTACCTAATATCGCACACGCAGACCACATCTGGTTTAAAAGACCAAACTGGTGGAGCAGTACAACCCCATCCCAAATGTGGAATTTTTTTGTCTTGTTGATTGCACATTCTACGTGTATGCGCAAACTGGCAATTTCTTGAGTCTTCACATCATCCTCAGCAGGCTTTTGGCTAGAACTCCAGTGGTAACAGATCTTGAATGGTGAACCCTTTGTCTGCTATGACTGAGTCATTGTCTTTAAAAGGCAAATCAAGGAAACCACTTCTCGCAACTATCTCCCGGTCTGAAATGTTTCCTTTGTAGAGTTGACTTATAAAGGTTATGTCACCTCCGGGACTGATTCCAATTAAACCTTTAAGGGTTGTATGGTGTTTGTAATTACCGAACAATTTACCATTCAGTTGTAAACAACTTGGCATATGGCATCTAACTTCTATGCAGGCTTTAGTAACTCTGGTTGAAGAATATTTTTTCTCAAAATCCTCCGGCATAGTTTCCTCAATAGCTGCTCTAGAAGGCTAATAATTATTATTGATTTGTCCTAACCTTAGGTACCTAAAATTAACCCAGGTAATAAAAACTCAACTTACTGTAGACACTGAAACTTTAAAAAGATGTGCAAGATGTTCTTCTTCAATAATTGAAGACAGCCAAGAATGTACTTCAATTTGGGCAACCAGTGTAAAATCTAATTGAAGAGTCATCGTCTTTGAATCTGTCTATCAAAAATAATTGTTTTTTAAGTGCCTCAATGCGTCAAAAAGCAAATTCCAACTGAGATTTTTGTTTAAATACTTGCTGTCTAAGTTCTGTTTCACTTCCCGTTTCCAGTTCTGTTTGCATCTCTGTATCTCTCACACTGCAAGAAAATGGCTTGCTTCTATCAGCACTCTCAGCGAAATCTACTGGATGTTCATTTGCAGGGTTATCCGGAATGTCATCCATTAAATCTACAGATGGAACATTTGATTTATGAGCTGCTTTATTTGAAGGTATTTTGAAGTTTCGTGCAGGCGGATCCTTTCTCTTGCGTGGTGATGTTCTAATCGATGCGAACACACAACTGAGGGTCATCAATCAGAAATTTTGTTTCCATTTTCATCACGGCAGCCTTTCTTTGTGCATTCTGGTACACAGCAATTAGTCGGCGTTTTGTTCTTGATAATTATATGTTTTTGCGATCACTAATAATTGAACCAAATTGAACAGATATTATGCCTGAATAAAGCGATCAAGACCTTTTGATCCTTTGATTTGGTTAGAACCCGAACCAAGCGTGGCCTCACTGGCCTTGTTTCCTTGCTGAAATCAATCTAAGTCTGGCACACCATCGGCCACTATGAAAGTCATGTATGGTTCAGTTTATAAATCGTCATTTCACTGTGGTTATAAAATATGACAGTCTTTGGGTATAAATTGATGATATATGCAGTTCAGTTAGAAATTACTATTCCTGCCAGAATCTCTGGCAGAGCCACCCCAATGGTTTCTTTTTTCTTTGCAGTATTTGAGGAGTCTTCAATTAGCATTAATAGTGATATTCAAACAAATTCAAGGTCCAGGGAAACTTCTCAGCAGAATTCTGGCAGTTTCTTTATCAATACTATCAAATCTTGGTGCTCCTGGGTGCTACCAGAGAATATCAATACTTGGTGCTTATGTCAATCTGGATTTGGTTAACAGTAGTAATGAAAACCTTGTGAGTACCGAATCTTCTGGTAAATTTTGTCTAGAAACATTCATTTTGCAAAGCCGATGTGTGAATACAGGGTTTTTGCTTTATTTTTCCAAGCTCTGGTATAGTTGTGTTTTTCACAAAACCACCCTAGAAGCACTATTATTTTTAATTACTGTGGGTGAAAGTAGACAGCTTGAGGTAGTCAGGGCAAGTAACACACATAGTTTAGTCCAGGCAACTTGTGACAGTGTGGCAGATAGACTTAATTCTAATAATACAGAATATTTCCTTCAATCGCTGTTTTGTACATGTCAGTTAAGTAAAGCTGAGAGATAAAAGATTCTGAATTGTCACAAATCTTTCAACAAGAAAATGAATTTGGCAGTAAAAAGGTAAATATCTTCTGCTCAACTTGAACCTCCAAATGAAAAAAAGTGCTTGGACATTGTCATTTTTACAAGAATAAAAAGGCAAAAATTCTGACTGATTGTGCCAAATAATACCAGTCTCTTTTAGCTAAAAAACAACAAGCTTATCAAAACATGGGCAGCAGTGAAAAAGAGAAATTGCCTGTAAAACAAAGGAATTTAACAAGCAAAGTTAAGTAGACAAAACCTTTGAAATGCAATGTCTTGCATGGATTCCTGTATCAAGCCTTTGAAAACAAAATCATAGAAGGCCTTTATTACATATGTCCTGTGTGCAATAAAAATCCTCCATAGAAAAACATTGATTTTAATTAAAGATGGTTAAATATAGCATTCAGCATCTCTTTACAGAGAAAAGGTAGTTTGATTATATAGAATACATTTGTAAATCATGTAACTCTAACCTGTCAAAAGGACAATTTCCATGCGAGGCTGTTTATAACAAACAAGAATGCCCCTACAGCGGCATTCGGTCTCGCTTGGAGATTAGATCGAGAAATGAGGGGGTGATTAATTCTACACGGAAACAGGATTTGCTCACTAAAGGGTTTTTACGTCCTACTTTATCGATGTTGATACTTTTTACTTGTTTCTGAATTGATTTAGTACTTGTGTAAGTGACGACCAGAAGTACGTCTGCGGTCGCAGGCTATACGTGTGTATAAATACATGAAAATTCAAGGGCCTCGATTCCAGAGAAATTACATCATTGCCAGAGATCAAAAAAGTGATTTATGCTTCAATCTACCCACAAAATGGCAAACCTTAATCAGAATGAAATATGTGCTGTGCTCTGTTCGAAAAGGCAACAACAACATGATGGAGAAAATGGCTATGTGAAAGCCGGTTTATTAAACTCTGAAATTCCAATACAAATACAAACTCAAACTTTCACTGAACATGTATTGCTGGCGAATGTGAGGGCAATCAGCTGCTTGAAAAATACAAACCATAGAACAAGGAAGAGGCAGGAATGGGGAAGAGGAGGGCTGATGAAAAATTTTTGTGTGTCAACGAGATTAAGAATGCGACATCCATTTTTCAACAATCAATTAATACATTACCTTAAGACGCCATCTTCAATTCAAAATTCAAATCAGTACCCTCGATTCCATGTTCCTAGCCTCTTTCCAGATTACTGTACTTATAAACTACTGTAATGGCTAAATATGATTGTCGCATAAAATTTTATTTGAAGACAAATAATACATTTATGCCTCAATCTATCCACAAAATGGCAAACCTTAATCAGAATGAAATATGTGCTGTGCTCTGTTCGAAAAGGCAATACAAACAACATGATGGAGAAAAATGGTGAAATTTTGCACATAGCCGGTTTATTAAACTCTGAAAATCCAGTACAGATACAAACTCAAACTTTCACTGAACATGTATTGCTGGTGAAGGTGAGGGCAATCAACTGCCAAAGACCCTGCAAAGCAAGGGCACGCCCAACCCAAGCAGAAATTTCATTCTGGGTAAAGGTATTACATAATTAATATTACAAAAACTGCATCCCGCATAATCTGTTCAGATGAAATCAAAAGTGCGGTTCGGTTGTGCCACCCTGCAAGCAACAACATCACAACCTCTGACACATTCAGAGAAAGAAACAGATCCTAGAGAGGTTATTCTGATATACTTTTTGAAAGCATCAGATTTCCATTCACCCAAGTGCCTAATCTTGGTGTCAGAAAGACCTTGTTAAGCTGCATAAGTAGCAGCACCAATCCTAAAGCTGTGTCCTTTATATCTATTGGGATCCATGTTGCATATCCGAATAACTGAGCCAAACATTTTACTAAACCCACTTCTTAAAACTGGGGACCTGTTGTGATTAATAAAAAGTGGGCCATGTACTGTGCCACGAACAGAAACATAGTCCAGGAATGATTGAACAGGACATGCTTTAGGTTGTCTATTCAGAACTATGGAAAAAGGATTTTGATTGTTATTATGTTTATAGCTTTTGAATGTAATTATCAAGGAAACCACATTGCCCTTCCCACTATGTTTCCTAGAAACTTGATCCAGTTGTAAAAGGTTACCATTGACACTGTCTTGCTTTGACACTGTGATTTCACTAATACGAAGAAATGCAAAAAATGCCATTGCACACATGGCCTTAAACATAAATAATTCATATTGAGAAACACAAAAAATATCTAAACCTTTCGTGGTGCAAACTAAAATGGGAAGGGTAATGGGCAACCTTGAGTCCAGTTTGTAACCAATCTTACCATACCCTTTAAGCATCTCACTAATGTAATGAGTTTTGGTAGGATAGGGCAGAAACATAAGTATTTACTATGGAGGAAACATATCTATGATTTTGTAAATGTGCAACAAACAATGCCAATGTGGTCGGCAGCACTGGTAAAGAAATGTGTGAGCTCTGAAAAACACTTATTTGAAATTCTTCAAAAAGCTTCCATGCCCTACAGTATGTTGGTACTGAAGACTTCTGTAAACTAGCAGATAAAAGATCACTAACTATAGATGCCAGTTTGCAGGGAGTAGATGGGATGGGATTGCTGTTGGCATGGGATCCATGTAAGCTGCTGCTAGTTTCTTGAAACGTTCGATCCGCAAACGAGACAGTGCATCTGCAAGAGTGTTCTTAAAACCCAAAATTTGCTTGGTTTTCAACAAAATATTGTGCTTCAAACAAACTAGCACAAGTTTACGAACAAAAATCATTAAAGGGGTATCCCTACAGGTAGACTTAATTATCACATGTACTAATGCCTCATTATCAATGAAGAATGTAATACACCTGTCCCTAATATGGTCACCCCACAACATTAAACTCAGAACAATTGGGTAAAATTCGAGAATTACAATATTTTGACCCAACCATTCCTTAGGCTATTCACCATAGCACCAGTGAGAACCAAATACAGCTAAAAAACCGTGCGCCCCTGCTGCATCAGTAAATAACTGTAGGCTCACACTATTTTCCCATTTCTTATTAAGAAAAAATGATTTACCATTGTATTCTTGAAAAAACTGTTGCCAAATAAACAAATCAGCCTTCACCTCCTTGGAAACACGAGCAAAATGACCTGGCCTTTTGAGGCCAATTGTCAAGTCCATTAGCCGTCTTAAAAGCAACGACCTGGAACAACCATTGAAAAGCAAAATTAGTACCCCGGTAAGCGACTGCAACTCTCTCAATGTTGCCTTCTTCTTTTTGATAAATTCAGCAATCAATTGTTTACATTTCAATAATTTATCTTCAGGTAGCTAGGCGTGATTCACAACGTATAGTGTCTAGTTCAACACCTGCAAATGTCAAAATTGCAGATGGGCCAAATGTTTTTTCAGGTGCCATGGGAATGCCTAAAAAATCACATAATTCTAAGAGTCCAAGACGTCTTGAATACTGAATTTCTGGGGGCTGAATGAGGAGAAAATCGTCTTCATAAAGTCCAGGGTTTATTACTTCAAAACGTTGTCATCAGTTTTAAATCACACAAACAAAATTCTTTCAACTGTGAACAAGTGTATGCTGCATTGAGTCGAGCAACTTCACTTCAAGGACTGCACATTCTTAATGAACTCGAC